CTTATCTTCTACTGTATCTACAGTCCTAGGATCCAAAATTTTGTAAAATTTGTCAAATGTAGGATAACACTGTTTTTGTCCTTCCTGCATAGCCTCAGGTATGCAGGAAGGACAGGTTTATTGGGTTGCTCCCATCACAGTACTCCCATTCCTCTGTGTTTATTTGTAACTTCTTTTTTGTGCTCTGTTGACTTGTAAATATTGTTTTTCTCTCCCCCCTAAGTTTTTCTCTTCTCCCTAAGTTTATTCAGAGCAATGTCCTTTTTGTATGGACACAAGAAGACAGTATATGCTATGCTTTTGTAATGTGACTCTCAGTGATATTTTCCTCACCTAAGCCTCAGCTACCTTTACTTCCTAGCACCCCCAAAAGCAGGGTCCCAAGGAGGGACTGGATGGATCCAGGGCAAATGGTAAGCTATGTGCTACCCTGGTATCGAGATGGGCCTGGCCAAAGTGCCATAATTCTTAACTACAAGTTAAGAGCTTGGTCATGGACAAATTCTGTCATGATCCAAAAAGTAATAAGTAGACTCGGACCCTGCTAGGGTTAGGAATGATTAATCTGGCCTGAGCGCTGTAGTCTGAGTCTGTGGTAAGATGTTCCCAAGAGAGCTGCCCTACAAGCCTCAATGTTATCTCTTACTGTGTCCATACAAAATAACTAGTATTAAGATGTTGGTAGAGATATTGGACTGAGGAAAGGAGAAAAACACCTTAGAACCTGGGCAGCCAGGGGAAGAGCCGTCGGGGCCACCTCCTTGCCGCTCCCAAAGAATTTATACAGTCAAATACATAAAATTGGCATATTAGAAAAAATGACTACAGAAATATTTCATTGCATAAAATGAACAGTTATTTCCTTTATTTCCTTTTGTGATGCCAGGTATATAACCCAGTGTCTTATACATACGAAGCTTGTGCTTTGCCTCAACCTAATAGTTATTTAGTATTAAAAGCTAGATTGTATAATTATCTGGTTGTTTTACTCATATAAATTATTGGCAGTATTGGGTCAAGAGAAGCACAATGGGCTGAGCTCACGCTTTGCATGAAGAAGGCCCCGATTCGATCCCCAGCACCAAACAGTCTCATGAGCAATGGCAGAAGTGACCCCTAAGCACAAAGCTGGGATTAGCCCACAACAGCATTGGGTATAGCCCAAAACAAACAAAAATGACTGAAAGTAAAGTTTTTAGTAAAATGTTTTTGAAAACATTAAATTGTTTTAAAATAAGAAAAATAAGGGTCAGAATAGTACAGTGGGTAGGGTTCTGGCCTTGCATGCGTCTGACCCGGGTTTGATTCATAAGCCCCTCCAGGAGTGATCCCTGAGCATAGAGCCAGAGATAAGCCCTGAGCACAGACTGTTGTGGACCAAAAACAAACAAACAAAAGTTTTAAAATACAAAAATAAAATGAAAATGAAAGCAGCCAGAGTTAGTACAGGTGTTAAGTTAGGTGATTTGTATGTAATCAACATCAATTCAATGCGTAGCATCAAATGATCCCTAAGCACAGCAAGCTGTATCTCTGAAGACCCTGAGTAGCCAGGGTAGCTGGGATAATCCCTAAAACCACAGAACAAGAGCAGCACTGCATCCTTGGCCTGTTACGTTGTACTGTCAGCCTGGTTGGCTGAGAATTGCTCAGAAAGTCTCCCTGACCACCTTTTGGGAGGCCCAAAAGGAAAAAGGACATGAAAATGAAAATCTGCTCTCCCTTTCTCTTGATCTTCAGTTCTGCTCTCTAGAGACAAGTATTACAAGTTTCTTTAAGTCAGTTTTTCCTGTGTACCTTCCAGAAAGTTTGTACAGATTGTCACTTTCATCAAACTTGGCTGGCTGCTGTCAATAATTTGAAAATCTTCTCGACTCTACATTTTTTATTTTAGGGCCACACCTGGTGATGTTCAGCGGTTACTCCTGGCTCTGCACTCAGGACTTACTCTTGGTGGTGCTCAGTGGACCATATGAGTTGCTGGGCATTGAACTCAGGTTGACTGCATGCAAGGCAAGCATACTACTTGCTGTACTATCTCTCTAACCCCATTTACATTTTTTTCTTACACTTCAAGCTGATGACTCTCAAATGTCTATCTCTAACCCTGTCACACCTTTCAGCTCCAGATAAGTAGTATTTCCAGCAAGTGTGCTGGACATCTTCTCCTGGAAGTCCTTAATGACAACCCAGAGTTATTTAAACTGAATTCATTGCCTCCCTGCAAAAATTAACTCCTATTTCTGTAATTTCTATTTAAGTACTGGTACAGATGTCTACCTAGTATTCACCACTATCCAACTACCTAAATCTTAAATTCACTAGTATCCATCTCCCTAAATCCAAGAGTCTACCGGTAGCCACCTACTTAAACCAGAAATTTGGGAGTAAATTTCAATACCCTCTGTCTCCCTTCTTCAGTAATAATGTCACAGAATACTTGCTATTTGCAAATGTTTTGTTTTATTTAATTCTCACAAAAGTCCTGGAGGGAGCTTTTAGTCTTATTGGTTCTACTTTACAGATGAGGAAAACTATTTGGATAGCTTGTTTAAATTTATACACCTAGGAATCAGTGATTTAAACCAGGCAGTCTGAGACCATGGCTCAAATGCTTAAGCCCTATACCTTAGCTTTACTATAGCTAACCAGATGCTAGTCTGGTATTTATTTACGTATGTATTTATATGTTTTTAAAAATCTATTTTTGGTTTGGGGGCCACAACTGATGGTACTTAGGGGCTACTCCAGGATTGGTGCTCAGGGGTTGTTCCTAGTAGTGCTCAGGGCATCATGGAGTCCTGGAACCAGGTCTCCTGAAGTAAAGCTTGCACTTCAGCCCATGGAGCTGTCTGGTTCATAAATCTGATATATCTTATTTCCTTGATTGCAATTATATCTCTTCCTTTTTCTCCTTTCCCACCATCACCATCTTATTACAAGTCTTATTGCTGATACTCTACTAATTAGGCATGTTAAAGTAATATACATCTTTCATATTTTCCCTAGAATGTTTTATAAAACGCAACCTCCTAATGTCTTTTACCTGTTGAAGACCCTTTAGTGGCTCCCTATCACTCACATCATAAAACCAGAGATCTGATATTTAATACTGAAGATTTGTCTTTGTTGGCCCATTCCTAGAGAGCTTACTTTGTTAAGCACTTTATTACACAATCTGAATTGGTGGTAATTGCCTAAAAAATGCCATGCTGCTTCTTATATTGATGACTTTGCATATGTTATTTCCTTTGCAAAAATAAAAAAAACCCAAATTTTCCCTATTTGCATTCTTATTTTTTTGTGTCTGTGAAATTCAGTACTGTCCAGAAAGGTTAATTTCTCCAATTATTCATGCCCTATGTGCTGCCTTGGACATTGGATCGTTTGTCTTTGTAATGTTAGTGTTTGTTTTGTTTTTGTGCCACACCCAGGGATGCCCAGGTGTTACTCTAGCTCTGAATCACTTCAGGGGACAAAATGGGATACTGGGGATTGAACCCAGTTGGCTTTGTGTGAGGCAAGCATTAGCTGTACTATTGCTTGGGGCTCCAACATTAGTTTCATTTATTTGTTTCCCTTTCTACAATGTTAACTCTTTTAGGGCAGGGACACTTCTCATTCAACTCTAGATCTTTAGTGGCTAGCATGATGTCTTTCACATAAGTAGTTGCTTAATAAATATCGGGCAAACCAAATTATATAATTTAATTGAAAAATTATAGTCTTATACTGTGTTGGAAGAATTTCAGGCATCAGTGATATGGAAAATGCTTTTTTTAGATTTTTTTGCAATGCAAGAATTAAACTCAGGGTCTCATACATTCAAAACAAGCATTTTACTACTGAGCTACTTTCTTGGTTCCTCAGAAATTCTTTCTTGAGCATTAGACAGCAGGTGCTGCACAGAGAAAGGATGACTAAAACAACCCCTAAAGTGGGAGTATTACCCGTTCACAATGGGTCGTGTGTGTGCGCACGCGTGTGTGTGTGTGTGTTATGTTTTGTGAATTTTGGGTCACACCCTCTTGTGCTCAGAGGCCTATGTGGTGCTGAGGATGGAACTCAGGTTGATTGCACGCTAGGGAAGTGGCTTACCCGCTATTCACTCTCTCTGGCCCCATCAGTTGTAAATTATTCACACAAATATTAATATTTCTAGAGGTGTTCTCCTTTAGACATGCATTCTGTTTCCACTGAGGATTGCAAGCAGCCTCAGAGCAGTGCCAAGTCTGGAATTCTGCCAGGTAGAGAAATGAAGTAAACAGCCTCAATTTGCTGAGAAACGTAATCTTTGAGTACATCTGGATCTAGTCTTTTATGGGCAAGAAGCAGAGGTTGACGGTGTCCCAATTTTCTTGAAACGTGAGAACAAGAAATAATCTTTGTTTACCACATTTTCGCTGGTTTCTTGGCACCAGATGAAGCTCACTGAGTGCTCAGCTCCATGTGGAAAGAGCTGAAGCTCTCAGCAGAACTAGCGGCTGGGCTGCATCCTAGACACTTGGTACTGTGGGAACCCCACCCTCGGGAGCCCACCCTTCGATTTTTGTGCAAAACACTATCTCAGATTCACCGGGCTTCGGCCTATCACAGTTAGGATTCAGGTCTGCGGGGCAGTGCCCATTGTTGATTGATATACAGTATAAGACAATTTCTCAAATTGAGATGGGCGGTAGGCGGAGCTCGCCTGTACGTGCTCCCCAGGATATTGGGTGGGGCGTACTGAAGATGCAGGTTCCGGGGTGGCCATAAAGGCCACCCGGAAGCCTGCATGAGACCGTTCTGTAAAGGACTCACAGCCGCCCGCGGCAACGACATTCAGAGTACGGGGCCGAGTTAGGGCGGCCCGCGCGTGCGCGTGCGTGCGTGCGTGCGTGTTACGCGCGTGCGCAACACCGCTGCCTAGGGGTTGGCTGATTATTTTTGCAAGCGGGAGGGGCCTCGCGCGCGCTCCTGACTCCGGCCTCTGTCCCCCACCCCCTTTCCCCGTCCCGGCCTCTCCTTTGGAAAGATGTCGGACACGGCAGTAGCGGACACTCGGCGCCTGAACTCGAAGCCGCAGGACCTAACCGACGCTTACGGACCTCCAAGTAACTTCCTGGAGATCGACATCTTTAATCCACAGACGGTGGGCGTGGGCCGGGCGCGCTTCACCACCTATGAGGTTCGCATGCGGGTGAGTCACGGGGTGAGGGAAGACAGCTGAAGGAGGACCGGGTGGCTGCACAGGGCGGTTGTGCGGGGAAAGCAGGGGTGGGGAAAGGCTGGCCCGGGGATGGTTAACCGCGGAGTAGCTGCTTACAGGGGTCATTTGGGGGCTAGGGGCACACTAGGTTTAGGGAGAGGGCTATAGACTCCGTTGTGGCCCGAGGATATAGCAAACTCTTGAGGTGGGCATCGGACTAGGCTGAGGAAAAACAGGTACCCCTAAGCAAGACGTGAAGTTTGGCTGGGGAGGATGGAAATTATTAACAGTGAGGGTTTCAAGGAAATAGCAGTCATGATTAGAGCGCCAGAACGAACGGAGAGTAGAAGGCGGGGGGTTGGGGTGGGATGGAAAGCCAAGGCTTTCTGTCTGGGTTGCTCGAACTGAACTAGACTGTGGGAAGTTAGTCTGAAGAGGAAGGGAGGGCAGCCTCCCTCTTCACCTTCTCTTTAATGAGGTCTCCCTAGGATGATGGAGTTCAGCAAAGCCTGGATTGAAAGGTAGATAGAATCCAGGGGAGAGAGAGGGGACTTGGTAGAGTAGAACTGAGAGAGGGAGTTTCCTTGAGCCTGAGTGCTTCCCTTATTTGCCTAGACTTATCCTAGAAGGTGAGACATGTTTCATGCTTCAGTTTTGACATGCTGTTTGTCTCCCAGTGAAACCTGACTTTGCACTGGGATTGGTACCTGGTCAGTCCCTGCTCTCATCCTGGGTGGGTCCTTGAGTATTTTTTGTTTTTCACTTGAGTTTTCTGACTATGAATGAGCTTTTGCCCTTTCAGGTCTCGACAAAACTTTTGATTCCACAACCTGGTCTACAGTTACTTGAATATATATGAAATTCAGGGCTGCTGCAGCAGTACTTTCTTTCATTGTGCACCACAGAGGACTTTATTCTCAAGCTCTTAGTCCACAATGCAGGGATGGAATATGCAGATAGACTGTGTTAGTAGGTTCTTTTGCTCCAATAAGTGATTACTGGCAAAAAAGGTTTGAGAGCCATTTTTCTAGAGCTCATTATGTTTTTTTAGACCAGATGGCTATGATCCTGGAGCTCAGACAGCATTTGAACACCTAAAAGATAGTATTTATGCTTTCATTTTTTTAATGAATGAGAAGGCTGTTGTTTCTTACCTGAATTGAGAACTAATTACCAAATTCCAGGTCTAAATTCAAACAGAAAAAAGAAGTGAATAGTGACTATCAAAAGAAGAGAAAGGAGTCAGAGTGGTAGCTCTGTGGGCTGAATGCATGCTTTGCATGTAGAGGGTCTGAGTTTTATCCCCAGCATTACATGGTTCCCACCACCTTGAGTACTGATGGGTGTCCACCACCATAGACAAAAAATGAGAATAAACAATTTATGAGAAAAAATTGAATTACTTCTTTTGGTATTAATGGAAGTTTGCCCTCAAATATGATAAAAGGTGGGAACTCTCAGTGGTAGAGAATTTAATTACCTGAGGATCCTAGCCATATTTTTTTCATAATTTGTTTTGTATGTAGACTCTGCTGTGGGGGTTTGGAGATACTGTCTTTATGTATTACCAGAGATTCTTAGGAAGTATTAAGTAGCTGTCTATTTCAGACATTCTGAAAACAATAGGGACTCTTCATTTACTGCTTCCAATGTGCCAGGAATTGAACTAAATTTTAGTTTTGAACCCTTGTAAAACCCCTATTTTACAGACAACACCTGGAAAAGAAATGCAATTTAAGTAATTTCCTTGAGTGGGCATAGTTAGTAAGTTCCAGGGCTGGCCTTTGAACTGAGGTCGGTCTGACTCTAAAGCCCATAATAGTCTTTCCATTACATTTGAGTATTTCTGGTAAAGCTTAAGAGTAATTCTTTTGTGGTGCTAGGGATTGAACTTAGGGCTCATGGATGCAAAGCATGCACTTTGCCACTGAGACACATTACTAGCCAATTCTGTTAAAACTTAGTTGCACAACTTCAGCGTGCAATATTTTTTCTACCCATTAAGATTTTCCTTAGTCCTGTCCACAATTTCTATTTATATCGTGATTTTGAATTGATGGTGGTTCCTAGTTCTGTGGGTTTGAGTTGATTTGTGTTGTTTATATTGATTTATATGGCTATATAAGCTTTCATTGAATCTAATGGCAAAAATTAATGAATCATTGTTTTAAATTGTTTTTTTGTGTGGGTACACCTTGAGGTGCTCAGGTCTTACTCCTGGGTCTGTGCTTAGAGATCACTCTTGAAGGGTTTGGACGACCAAATGGGGTGCTGTGGATTGAACCTGGGTTGTCAAGGCAAGTGCCCTATCTGTTGTACTATCTCTCTGGGCCCTTAATTTTTAAACTTTTTACTTTTTGGTTTGTTTTGGGCCTCTCTCAGCAGTGACTGGTTCTGTGCTTACACCTGGCTCTGTGATAAGGGATCACTCCTGGTGGTGCTCAAGGAGCCATCCATATGGTTTGCCAGGGATTGAACTCAGGTTGGTCGCCTGCACGGCAAGAACCTAACCTGCTGCACTATCTCTCCAGCGCCTTGAATTTAAAAAAACGATCACATAGGCTTTATTAGGTACTTGAGACACAAATGTACTTTGAAAGTTAGGCATGTGTATGGCAGAAGCAGGTGACACTGACTTTTTGTTCAATAAATATTTCTGAATTTGTTCTCTTTCATTTTGCTCAGGGGAAAAATCCCCCCTTCTCATGACCCTTGAGAAATGAGATGAAGAGATGTCATGATGACATCACATGATGTATATGGAACTTTTCAAGTGTCACTTTTCCTGTCTTGAACAGGGCTTGGACTTGGATTCTTTCCCAATTTTCCCTTGGCTTCTTGTAGATCAGAGCCAAAGGATTCTGTATCGTGTACTTTATATACAGTCCTGTCTCCCTCAGATGATTTGTAGGTTGAAGCTGGGAGACTAAGTATATACATCTCCTTCCATAGGTGGCTCGGTACTGAGAGAAGGCTGTTGTTTTCCCTTGAGGGATAGAGAAAGAATATAATTTTTGTTAATCAAGGAAGAAGTCTCTATACAAAATCACAGTGGGCGGTTTAGTTGTGTCTTGGAAGAATCTACTTAACTTTTTTCCTCATTTCTTTGGTTCTTCTGGTGACTTCTGGTAAGACCTGTTAATTAAGGCTTTATTGTTAGGGGACTCACAAAATTTCTGATGAACTCTGGTGGAAATCTAAAATCACATGATACTGGAGGATTTTTCCCCTTGCAGAATTATTCCTCCGCCACTTTACTGAGATATCATTGGTATAAGATAGAAATTGCAATGGTGGAGGAATGGGTGTTGGAACATTGTATGACTGAAATTTAATCATTAACAATTTTGTAATTCTCTATCTCACACTGATTCAATAAAAAAAACCTGTGTAGGTTTGAGGTATACAGTAATGATTTGATTTGACACCCTATTTCTTGCAGGATTTTAAGGTTCTCTGTAATGTTTTATTTTGAAAAGTTTATTCCAGTACCTGATACAATAATCAAAAGATACCAAAAAATACACAGTAAAACAGAAGACAGTCTCTCTCCCCTCTCCGCCCTCTAGAGCAGTAGTTTTCCACCAGTGCTGGTCTGCAGTTGTAAAAAGATTGAAAATTGTGGTAATTTCTTTAAGGAAACCACTATTTCTAGTTTATTGTTCTTTATTTTTGTGCTTAGTGCTTATTTGTGGCTCTGCACTTAGGGATGAGTCCTGGTGGGAGTTGAGGCTTTGCTTGGGATCGAGTCCAGGTACATGCAAGACAAACATCTCTAACCCACTGTCCTGTTTCTCTGGCCCCAAACATCATCTTTATAACTTTTTTGTTTGGGGGCCATACTTGGATGTGCTCAGGGTTTAGTACTGACTCTGTGCTCCTGACATGGCTTAGGGAGCCATATAGGGTGCTGGGAACTGAACCTGGCTTGGCCGTGTGGAAGCCAAGTGTTGTACCTGCTGTTTTACCTCTCCAGCTCCTAGTTTCTTACTTTTTCCTTCTCTGTAGAGAAGGTCATAAAATACCACTTTATATCATCTTCCTCCACATTAGCCTGTTGACATTTCTTGGACCATGAGGATCCTAGGTAGAGTTGTAATGGAGATAAGTTGACTTGTATATTATTTAGCTTTTGATGATATATGCCTAAAACTGTGTTTTGAAAAGGCAGTTTCCAGACTCAAGAACTACAAAGCACAACATAATGAGGATTGTGTGTGCTAAGACTTGAACTCAGGGCTTTCACACATGGGGGATACTTTACCATTGAGTCTCAACCTCAGCTTCAAGTTTAATTTTCAGGTAAAAATGTGATATATGCACATGATAAGTTCAAATTGTATAATGAAAAAGTTTACCCTCCCATCTCTTCCATTTGTCTACTGCCAATAGTAAGAAATTCAGAGTCGATCATTATTAGCACAACTTATTCATGAATATAAAATTATCCCCCCCAAGCATATATATCTTTTTAGAACATGAAGATAAGCTATATAATTTTTTTGCTTTTTGGGTCACACCCGGCAATGCTCGGGTTACTCCTGACTCTACACTCGAGAATGACTTCTGGAAGTGCTCAGGGGGCCATATCGGATGCTGGGGATTGAACCCAGGTTGGCTGTGTGCAAGGCAAATGTCATCTCTACTGTGCTATCGCTCCAGCCCCAGGAAACAAGTTATATATACTGTTCTGTATCTTTAAAAAATAAGAGACCTCTGCAGTGGTACTTAAGAATCAGCAGAGCTATATTGGGGAGCAGGTTGACATTCAGTGTAAGGGACTGAACTCATGGTTTTGTGAATGCAAAACATGCACTCCACCCCTTTGAGCTATCTCCCTAGCCCACTGTTGTATACCTCAATGCTAATGTTTACTACCTTTTCATACTGGCACATATATTTCACATTCTTTTCATAGTTGTGTAGGTTGTGTGGTATGTGGTTTCATGCTTGTGTAGGTAGTATAGTTGTATTGTATAGGCATACTATAATTTATTTAGTCACTTTCCTATTGGTAGACATTTATTATTATTCCAAATAATTAAAATGTAATCAAAACCTTGGTTTAAGTATTTTTATATGACTGCAAGTTTTTTTTTGTAGGAAAATTTCTAAATAGCAAGTAGCAAAGTTCTAGTCACCAACTTACAGGACTGGATATGGTGAGGAGTGGTATTCACCCAGTGAATTTTGAAAGGATTATTAGAGCATCATTCATGGGAGCTATTACAGTTACAACAGGTGGCTCCCACAGACTGAACATTATTTACCATTGCTCTTCATTTGTTCTTCCTTTCCTATAGACAAATCTACCTATCTTCAAGCTGAAGGAGTCCTGTGTACGACGGCGCTACAGTGATTTTGAGTGGCTCAAAAATGAGCTGGAACGTGATAGTAAGGTATGGCTCCATTCCCTGTATGGAATCCTTGGAGGTGATCTCTATAAGCTGAGAGGTCATAAGATTGGAGTATAAGATCTTGAAGTCAGTGGATACATGAACATATTCTGCCTATCTAAATTTACTTTATTGCATCCGGCTGATTCCTTCTGGGCCTGGTTGATGATACCCTTTGAAAACTGAAAGTAGAAACTTAGAGTAAATTGTAAAGAAAAATTATTTAGGTTACTAAACTTCGTATCTAGCAAATTTTTACAACTTTAGCAAGGTATGGTACTAGAAATGAAAGGTACAGTCTCAGGAAAGGTCTTTGTGAGTTCTTGGATGGTAAGGTTGTTAGAGGGAATTGACATATGTTGGGGGTTTTTCCTTTGGGGGACTCTCTCTCAAGGAGTTCTTAGGGGGCCTGACTTGCATTAGCTGTTTGGTTAAACCCACTGAGTAGGGCTGCTTGGATCCAGTGGTCTTGGAGGCCACTGAGCTGCATCCTCCAGTGCTAGTAAAGGAGTGAGAGGCCTGGGATTGAACTCAGAACTTTACACTTGCTATATATATATATAGTAAGAATATATATATGGCATATATATATATGGCATATATATATGCCAGCCCTTTGAGCCATCTCTTCGTATCCTTTTATCTTTATTCTGAGATGATAAACCTTTCTTCACACAAAAGTAGAGTTTCATTAATTTTTGACTTGTGCCTCAGTTCTTAATGTCTTAGTTCCTACAAATTTCTGTCAGTTAGGATGGATCCTGTATTTAGAAGTAAACGGGTAGGACTGGAGTGATATTACAGTGGGTAGGGCAGCCTTGCATGCAGCCGATCTGGGTTCAAGCTCCCCCCCCACATTCTGTATGGTCCCCTTTTCACTGTCTGGAGTATTCCTGAGCATCATCAGAGCCAGGAGCATCTCTGGGTGTAACCTAAAAGCCAACACTCCAAAGAAATAAATGGTGTATACAATGCTTTGCCAGTTCATTTGCTCTCTGTTCTCACCGTGTGGTTGATAATTTGTATCTTTCCTGCAGATTGTAGTACCACCACTTCCTGGGAAAGCCTTGAAGAGGCAGCTCCCTTTTAGAGGAGATGAAGGTATCTTTGAAGAGTCTTTCATCGAAGAAAGGAGACAGGGCCTTGAACAATTTATTAACAAGTAAGACAAGTTCCTGGAGGCTCTTGTGCTATTTGTGTTGGTTTTTCTCTTTGGTAGTGTGCTATATGTTGTGGTGAGTTGAAGTGGACAATAAAAGTCCATCTCTTTGAGCAGAATTCTTATCTTGTTCCTCAGGGCCTAAGAAAACCCTGCATGTTGGAGGTGTCTAGAGATTTCCAGACTTACCTGTTCAACCTATAAAATAGTAGGGTTGAAGAGGTGCCTTGCGGCTGCCCTCTACTTGCCTGGAACCTTGGGGCTGATCTTGCCATTCTCCTATTCCTGCCCTCAATCCCCTGTGAATTCTTTCTGATGTCCAGTACTACCAATAACTCTCTTGATCTTTTTTATAGAATTGCTGGGCACCCACTGGCTCAGAATGAACGCTGCCTACACATGTTCCTGCAGGAGGAGGCAATTGACAGGAACTATGTCCCCGGGAAGGTGCGCCAGTAGGAGGCCTTCTCACCACTCGCCCTCTACTTTCCTGCTGAAATGACATTGGTTTTTACACTAAGCCTCTCTCTCTCTTTGATCTGAAGTTGGCTACCCATCCCCTGGCCTGATAGACTGTTTGGCATTGTGCTTCTTGGTACCTGACTACACCATGGGCATTCTGCTAGAATCCTCTTCTCTGAAGAGAGGTGGGAAGCTACAGGCAGATGTCCTTTGCTTGGGGGTAAGGGTGGGGGTGGGATATTGGACTGGAAGGCAATTTCTTGGGCATTTACCCATGCCAGAAGGCTAACTTTGTGGGGTGGGTGTCGTGTGCTAGTGAGGCACTTGAATACATACTGATGCTGCAAGTCCCGGGGATTTTCTTACTCTTAGATTTAACCAGGAACACTGAGCAGGGAACAACTCTGCCTTTCCTACCTGCATGTACTTTTTCCTTTTGGTGAAGATGGTAGAGACCCAGAAGCTGTCCTTATTTGCTCTAGGTCTGCCCCCAGTTTTCTCAACAGTTTCTTTTGTTGCTATCTCCCTCCTTTATGGTGGTAATCCTAGAATTGAAACAGTCTGTTGTGTGGAACAAGTGTATGGGTTTCTGGGCTCATCATCATGGCTACTTCAGAGTCAGAAGAAAGCTGTAGGTCAGTAGGGGAGCTCCAGTTAACTAGCCCTTCCCCTTTCTGGTGCCCCATTCTGGCTTTCAATGTTTGCTTACCAGCAGGGAGTGAATATAGGCCTGTGGTTCTCCCTTTTTTAAGCCATCACTACTTTAGGGATAGCTTTGCAGGTTTGGTGGCTTCCAGGTAACTCCCTGAAGGATGGGAATGAATAATTTTCTAGGTATTTCCCAGTGGCAGGGAATGGCATCACTACACTCTTCCTCCCATTTTTCCTTTTCCCCATGCCATTTAGTTGCTGCCATAAGGCAGAAGCACACGAGCAATTCGCATAGTTTCCTTCCAAAGCACTTTGAGCTGTTGGATGGGGCCTAGGGGCAAGAGTTGTTGCTGCCTTCCCCAACTGGGTCACAGGGTTACTGAACTGCCTGCACTTGTTTCCCATGAACGCCAGCATTCTTCCCAGAAGCCAAGCTAAGGCTAGCAGCTGGGGGTGGGTTTCCAAAATTTTTGAGTCAGGAGCAGCTTCTTAGTGCTGGGCTGCTGTCTGGGACAGCAGTGATTTGTTTGCTGGGGCCCATTAGCTCTCTTGCACGTTGATAGGATGGGAGCAAATTAACTCTGGTATCAGGTAAGATGTGGGGACTCATTGCTTAGACTCCCTGTTACTGAAAGATTAGAGTTCTCTAAACATACCTTGGGGAAAAAGGATGGCCCACACTGAGAAGAAACTGTTTGGGGAGACAAGAATTGGATTTTGATAGGATTTGGAGTTCATCTAAACATTGCATTTCCTGAGACAGATCAACTCTCCAGTTGCTTAGCCTGTGTTGGAGAAGCTCTGCTCCCTTTTCCACCTCCCCAGTGTTGGTATAGTTGCTGCCTTTTTTATTTGTATCTTCTGTTATTGATTTTTAAAGATTTCTTCTTTCATTGTGCACAAATGCTGAGAGCCTGAGGCCCCATTTCTGCTGTGTATATATCCTACTTAGGGGCTTTTATTTGGCAAACTGTTCATTCTTCTGTCAGACAATGTCATATTCAACTCTGTTCATATTAAACCACTGTGAAACAAGCCTCTTGTTTGCCTTCTTCAGTTGTACATTTAGTATTTTTTAAGAGCTAAGATTTGCTGTGTATTGGGCAGAAATCATAGAGACATGTTCAGTGTCGTTTAGTAAGCTTTTCACTTAAAATGTAAAACAGTGGTTAGGGTGCTTGCCTTGCACACAGCCGGCCTGGGGTCGATCTTTGGCATTCCATGTGGTCCCCAGAACACTGCCAGAAGTGATCCTTGAGTGCTGAATCAGGAGTTACTTGTGAGCACTTCTGAGTTTGGCTCCAAAACCAAAATGCAAAACAGGGCCATAGAGATAGTATTGGGAATAAGGTGTTTGTCTTACACACAGCTGACCTGGGTCCTATCCCTGGTACCGTGATAGGCTTCCCTAACCCCCTCCAGGAGTGATCCCTGAGGACAGCCAGGATTAAGCCCTCAGCACATTGCTGGGTATGGGCCCAAAACTGAAAATATAATAAAACTTACTGAGGAAATAACTGGTTTAAGAATGTGTAAAGCAGAACCCTAGCTGCTGGCAGCAGTATTTACCTATCCACGAAACTCACAATTGACTTTGTCTCAGAGGTAATGTGTCTATTTGGAGGAAGTAGCCATTAGAGGCTCAGTACCAGAGGTTTGGGTCTGATTTAGCAGATTTGGTTTTTAGGTTTGTGGGTTTGTGGTAACTTTTAGTGTTTGTATGCATATGCTGTATATGTACGTAAACACACGTGTCCTTGGAGTTATCCAATGGTACCACCTACAAACACTTTTTTTAATTAGTGAAATACCATGAGGTACAGTTGTAGACTTACAAATTTTTGTGCTTGGGTATCAGTTCTACAATGATTGAGTACCCATCCCTCCACCAGTGCCCATTCTCCACCTCCAATGATCCCAGTATCCCTCCCACTCTCCCATTCCCCCCCCCCCCCCAATCCCACCCCACCTCTGTGGCAGGGCATTCCCTTTTGTTCTCTCTCTCCTTTTGGGTGCTGTGGTTTGCAAAAGAGGCATTGAGTGGCAATCATGTTTGGTCTATAGTCTACTTTCAGCATGCATCTCCCATCCTGGGAGGATCCTCCCAACACCCTTTACTTGGTACTCCCTTCTCTATCTGAGCTGCCTTTTCCCCTAGCATGTGCGGCTGGCCTCCAGGCCATGGAGTGAACCTCCTGGTACTTATCTTGACTATTCTTGAATGTTAGTCTCCTATTTTTACAAACACTTTTTCTTTCATGGGGCTTTTACCTTGGTTGAGGCAGCTCCCCCTTTTCAAATAGATTGATGCAGGCAGAATGGTGGGTAAACTCAGAACTTTGGATGGGTAGATACTTTCATCTGACCTCTGTGTTCTGAAATGGCTTTGCACACAAAGTGGGTTTTGAGAAAGGATTGGAATGTGGGATAGGGAGGAGTTGTGTCATTTGGGGTGGCAATACTAGTTTTGATCTTGCAGTTGAATGTAGAAAAAATCACAGAAAGTGATTTGGTCAAAACATTATGAATTTTACAATGATAGTTAGGTCTAAGAAGAGTGTAGGCTGAATTGAGGGGTTTAAGAGCTTTTTGTAGTTCAGTAATTGGATGAAAAAAAGGTATCTGAAGGAATAGAGAATAGATGTTTCTGTGGGATAAGAGAAGGAAAGGTAATAGAAATGCATCCTTCATAGGGATGTGTTAGAGAATGGATTAGAAGCAAGAAAAAGCTATGAAATGTGGACAAAATTTGAGATGACATTGAGAAGTACTAATTACTAGCCTTTTGTATGTCCAGCCGTATGCCAAAAACAGCAGGAGCTGTCTGACAACTGTTCAAATAAAATAGGCTTTTTTGGGGGGAAGTACTAGAGATGGAATCCAGGACCTCATGCATATGAAGTGTGTGCTTCACTGAGCTATATCCCTGGCTCCCTTAAAAATATTACATGGGACTGGGGGATGGCTCAGGCATAAATGACCTGTTATGTAAATGTGAAGCCATGAGTACTATCTCTGGTTTTGGCCCATGATATACCTTCATGCTTTGGGCACAATCCCGATACCTCTGCTGTTTGGAACCCTTGGAAACATGCAATGATCTCCAGTCCACCAAAGCTAGGTGTGTGACCAACTGTCTGTGAGCAGCTCAGCTGAAGATGTGAGCAATGCAGCTAGCATGTGACCTCAGGCAAACACATGTGAGCAACACAGTGATTTTTTTTTTCCTTTTTGGGTCTCATCCGGTGATACTCAAGGGTTAAGTCCTGGCTCGGCACTCAGGAATTACTCCTGGCAGTGCTCAGGGAACTATATGGAATGTCAGGGATCGAACCCAGGTCAGCCACATGCAAGACAAATGCCCTACACGCTGTACTATCATTCTGGCCCCAACACAGTGATCCTTAGTGAACACCATAATCAGGATGTCCATGACATGAGCAGCAGAACTAAAGGATTCAGGCCTCAGGTGTGCACACGTGTAGGCACCAAAACCAAAGTTATGTGACCCCTGGGGAGCACTACAAACAAACTGCAAACACCACAGTCAAGTGTGTGTGTGATCCCTGATCATTGCAACAATAATATGGGAGAGGGAAGATGGAAATTATATATATATATATACACACACACACATATATATATATATATATATATATATTTTGGCGGGGGGTGACCACACCTGGCAGTGCTCAAACCTTACTCCTGGCTCTGCTCAGGGATCACTCCTGATGGTGCTTGGGGGATCATATGAATGCAAGGCAAGTATCTTAGACCCTATGCTATCTCTGTGTTATTAGCATGAAAGTATGATTACTTTCTCTTTCTTTATAGATCTTATGTTTTATTTAGTTCAGAAGATGTATATACAAAAAATGAAAATGCTTGAAAGAAAAATATGATTTTAAGAGTTTTAGGCACATTTAATTGCCCAATTTTTTGGAGGGTTGGGCTATATCCTGCGCGACTAGGTGGGGTTTACTTCTGGCTCTGTGCTCTAGGGTCCATGTGATGGCAGGGATTGTATATAGAAACTGAAGGGAAAGGATTAAGAGGCATTGCCTGTGGAAAGTCAGATTGAGTAAAACAATTGTTCTAAAGATTTACCTATAGCTTTTCTAATATGTCATCAGAGTGAAGACCTATAGATGATCTGCAAAGTAGAGTACCTGGTTTCCTGAGCTGGATATGTCATTAGCTGGTTAGGGCACATCTGCAGCAAATTTGCCTTGCCACTCTGAGTCCCCTTTTTTTTGTTTTGTGGAGCCACACCAAGTGGTGTTCAAGGGGCTACTCCTAGTGCAATTCTTGGGGGTCACTCCTAGAAGTGCTTAGGGGACCATGCTTTGCTGTGGATTGAATTCAGGACTCCTGTATGCAAAGCATGTGATCTAGCTCTTTCAGCTATCTCCGTGACACTAACATTTTCATTGTGACCAAATATAAGAGTGTTTAATGCTAGCTAACAATATCCAAATAAAGCACAGACATGTAAAAAGTGAAAAATTTTGAGGTCAGAGAAGTTAGTACAGGGGTTATGGAACTTGCTTGCATGTGGACAACAATAGATTCCCTAAGTACTGCCAAGAGTGATACCTAGACACCGCAAAACAAAACAAAAACACAGTGAAAATTTTCCTGATTTCTTTTCTCCCTACTTGTTTTCTCTGAGAATAAGCTAATTCTGTATGTGTATTCTTTGACCTTTTTTCTTTTCACCAATAGTATGTATAATGTTCATACATATATGAATATCGACACATTTGTGTATAGTTTCTTTTTCGCAGAATAGGGGATGAGTCACATATAATAGTACTTAGGGATTACTCCTGGTCCTGTGGTGCAATATGTGCATATGTGGTGCTGGGGATCGAACTGGGATTGGCTGCAAGCAAGGCACGGTCCTTACCTGTGTATTATTTTTCTGGCCCCTATATATATTTTCTTTAAACAGAGTGTGATATTATATGTTATATTTTTTTGTTTGGGGGCCACATCCAGCAATACTCAGGGATTACTCAGCAGCTACTCATGGTGGTGCTTTGTGGACCATAATGGAATGCCAGGGATTGAACCTGGATCAGCCATGTGCAAGGTAAGTGCCCAGCTTGCTATACTATCTCTCCAGCCCCCTGTTATATGTTAAGTACTCTGCAGTATAATTTTTTGTAGGGTCCTACCCTACAAAAAATAGTGCTCAGGGATTTCTCTTGACTCTTCACTCAAGGGATCACTTCTGTTCGATTCTGGGGCCCAAATGGGATGCCGGGATGAACCTGGGTGGATCCATGCAAGGCAAATGATAGTACATGCAAGGCATTGTACTATCACTCTGGCCTGGCAACTTATTTTTTTTTACTTTGCAGTATATTGTGAATTTCTCACAGAACTTGGAAAATTTAAAAAATTGTAGTATAACATTTTATAGTATGTCTGTATCACAATTTAATGCTTCACTTATTGAAGGCATTTTTTTTCCTTGATTCTCCATCTTCCAGTTCAAATAATGCAAGATATAGTGTTGCTTATATGTTTGCTTCTGTCATATTTGAGAGAAGAAACTGCTGTGTTAAGTGTTACATGCATTTTTATATTTTATGGATACTATTAAGTTGCCTTCTTAAGTAGTATAATTTAGTTCCCCACTTGTAGCAGATGAGGATGTTTCTTCACCAACAGTAGAAATTTCTGTTTCTCACAAAATTTATTTGCCCAAAGTAGAAGAATATTAAATAATAAAACTGATAGCTATTCAAACTACTTGGTGAAAATGGTATTTCTCAGTTTTAACTTGCATTTTCTAGAACATTAATTATAATGGTACCACTATTAGGTTTTCAATAATTTCCACATATATTTCATTTTAGTCATTATAGATGCAGTTTTTGTTGATAATTTAGCATCCCCACTTTTCCTTGTTGATAAACCAGTGCTTGACTAAAAATCAATGTTTTCCTAGGTTTCTTTTCAACTGACTTATGGGAAAATGAACCAAATAGCCTGGTGGCAAAGCAATATTATCCGAGAATTCTTACTACTTCCCTCACATTGA